TAAGCTAGACAGTCATGAATTACCAAACTAAGTTAGACAGCCATGAATTACCAAACTAAGTTAGACAGCCATGAATTACCAAACTAAGTTAGATAGCCATGTATTACCAAACTAAGCTAGACAGTCATGAATTACCAAACTAAGCTAGACAGTCATGAATTACCAAACTAAGTTAGACAGCCATGAATTACCAAACTAAGTTAGATAGCCATGAATTACCAAAACTAAGCTAGACAGTTGTGAAATAAAACAGTCCATCATTGAAACTTGGGCCAATACAGGAAGTTGAATTAAAAATGGAGCATGACATAGCCTGGTGGTTAGGGGGCGCTCTACTGGTAATTTACGGGCCGCGGGTTCGATTCTCCGTCACCGAACATGTTCGCAACTTTCAACAGAGGGGGCTTATGATGTGCAATCCCACTATTCATTGTTCAAAGAGTAGCCCCAAGAGTAGGCGGTGGGTGATGTTAACTACCTGCCTTCTCTCTAGTCTATCGCAGCTAAGTTAGGAACGGCTAGCACAATTAAATGTTGTCTGCTCGGCTCAGCTTCTACTTGTCTCCTCTCTTTATCACTGTTACTTCAGTGATTTACTCGAGACAGACTGGCTAGACTGTTCCCTTCTTGTTGTATCAGTCGATGACTGGTCTATCTTTCCACGTACACGTAAGGCCACATTTCTGGTCGTTAAGTTCAAACAAAAGAATAAGAACACGGAGACAATCTAACATTGAACGTGCTCACCCTTTATATTTTTCTATAAAATAGTGGCTCAAGAGCTAGCGGTGGGTACTTTTGACTAGCTGCCGTCTCTTTCTCTAATATATCTCCTACGAATTAAGAACAGTTTGCGCAGATAGCTCTCGAGTATTATTACGCGAAATTAAATAAACAAACGTTCTTAAGTTACGGTTTACTGATTGTCAAGGGTTGACTTTGATATAAACTAGTGTCCAGAAACGTATGAGGATTTAGATAATTTTGCTTTAGGGTTAGAAAAGCGAATCTTGATTGTAAACCAGTTCGACGGTTTAGTCTGTCCTCAACTATTTAAATTAAAAGTAAACAACAAATTTACCTTCGAATAACTTTCTGCACCTTTTTTCCAGTTCAGTGACTGTTTGTTTGTTTGTTTTTGAATTTCGCGCAAAGCTACACGAGGGCTATCTGCGCTAGCCGTCCCTAATTTAGCAGTGTAAGACTAGAGGAAGGCAGCTAGTCATCACCACCCACCGCCAACTCTTGGGCTACTCTTTTACCAACGAATAGTAGGATTGACATTATAACGCCACCACGGCTGAAAGGGCGAGCATGTTTGGTGTGACGGGGATTCGAACCCGCAGATTGCGAGTCGAGCGCCCTAGCCACCCGACCATGCCGGGCCCTTCTGTCAAGAGCAAACAAGCTTAGCTCTCTATCTTTGTTAGCGAAAAGTTAATTGACATTTAGGCTTAGATGATGACGAATATAATTTTTATTTGTGTGCAATCTTCTTTAATGTGCTCTTTATCCTTATCTTCGAATTATTTTGTTAGTATAATATCATTTTTGTATTATTTCTATTTATTATTAGACTTCTCAATACCTAGCTTTCCTCATAACAGTACTCGTTTTAAACATACTGTAACTGCATGTATTAGTTTAGCGGTCTGGCATGGCCAGTTGGTTAGGGCAATCGACTCCCAATCTGAAGGTCACGGGTTCGAACACCGTCACACCAAACATGCTCGCCCTTTCAGCCGTGGGGGCGTTATAATGTGACGGTCAATCCCACTATTCGTTGGTAAAAGAGTAGCCCAAGAGTTGGCGGTGGGTGGTGATGACTAGCTGCCTTCCCTCTAGTCTTACACTGCTAAATTAGGGACGGCTAGCGGAGATAGTCCTCGTGTAGCTTTGCGCGAAATTCAAAAACAAACAAGCATTTGTTTAGAAAAAAAGGCGGGCTGAGATTTAATTAAGACAATAATTCTACACCAAAGTGAACAAAAATAAAATAACTTGTTGAGTGTCATCTTTGAGTTTTATTGATCGAATTTCTAGTGTTTTATAAAAACTACGTGAATAAAATACACACACACATACGGACGCTGTGTTCTGGTGGAATTAATTCATTAATCTTTTTAGTCTTGGAACGTAGATCAATGAACAAAACTCTTTATTAATGCTATTTTCAGTTCTCAAACATACTATATAAAGTTTTTGCTGAAAAAAAAACTTTATTACGGTAATTTTTACACCTTATTAGCCTGTATTGTCCTATAGGATAATTGTAAAACGTTCACGTATTTGAAATATATACATTTTGATTTCTAATATAAACTTTGAAAATATTTCACACAGATGTTTATCTCCTACAGAAATAAAAAATCCACACACTGAAACCTTTAAGTCCACCGGTGGGACAGCGGTAAGTTTACGGACTTACAACACTAAAATCCTGGATTCGATTCTCCACGGTTGGACAAAGCAAGTAGCCCACTGTGGCTTTGCTCTAAAACAAACAAACTGAAGCCTTTAAAAATCATTAACCAAACACCCAATCGTAATAATAATGAACTTTTAGTGAGTACACAATTCTGTCACGAACATGATAGTTTAGAAAAAAAACAAAAAACAATCAACAACAAATGTACCTCCATGAAATAGTTTCCGTAATTAAAAGATAAAACAAATAATAGAAATATACGTTATAAAAGTTGAAAGTCACATTACCGCGAAGTTTGATAACTCTGGGCTTTGTTTATAAAAATTGCTTCAACATTCTAATGTGTAAATTTTTGAAGAAATATTTAATTAATCGCTTCATGTTTTTTAATCACCGAGTTTTGATATAAATTCTGTATTCGTGGTCTATGAACCAACAACGATTGCCCTATAAGGAAATCCACGATGTTCCATGAAAATTGACACTTTATGTAATTTGTTCGATATACAAGCAAGTGTCAGTGGTCGAAGTAAAGTCTATAACAAGTACGAATTAAATGTTTTACAAAGGTATTACGAATATTGAATATCCAGAAAAAAGATTCTTTGTGTACAGAGCATACTATTTCAAAAAATATTTTAGTTTATTTATTTTCAAACTTGAATTTCTTGAACATGTTGATTGAAATTCAGTTTATTTCAGTGATATTATTTGATGATATTGATAAGGGCAAATATATTTTTGAAACCTGTTAAATAACCATCGTATGCAAGTTAAACAAAATGTGCGTAGTTTACTTTTCGATAATATTATATTTTTATTGTGTATCTTGTGGATTCTAAGTTTTCTTTATCTGTATGAACGCTCTACATTCCGCTCCGCCAAGGTCAACATAACACTGGCGACGGTCATTGAAAGAACGAGAAGGTCTGGCACACATGGATTTGCTGGATGGAAAGAGGCGGTTACAGACACCTCCCACGCCGCTGGACTGCAGAACGTTCGTTGGTGTTGGTTGATTAGAGGCGTGCTCTTATCAGTGTCAATGATAATCTCGTGTCTATAAAAAGACATCCAACCACCCCTTTTCTAGAAGTCTTAGGAAATCTATCACATTAAGTTTGTATTAATTTCAATCGAGGAAACTTTATTATGTCTCCATTGAAGGGAAGGGTCAGGCTAAACCTTGCGTGGATGATAATTTTGTGTGTGAGATTCAGTTGTGAGTCCTCTTCTATAAAGGAACTTGGACAAGTAAAATTTCATAGTAGCAGGAGGAACATACAGAGCAAAAACTTCGTAAATTTTTCTTCTGATCACCACCTCGAGAGAAACTTAATATTAACGGGTTCTGATGACAAAACAGTCTTTCATAGAGATGTCTACGCAAACTGTTCTATCTGTATTCGGAGAGAGGTTGAGAGGTTTGAACATCTTGAAGCGATCAAAACAAAAATTTTGGAGAAACTTGGTTTAAAGCAGCCTCTAAATGTTAGTAAGAAGATTACACTCCCTCAAATTCCACCTATTCACGAAATTCGTAATGAAATAGAATATATTAACAGGTCTGAGAGCAATACTGATGAAGAACAGGAATGGGATGATGAAACCTTGCCAGAAAAAGTTATTGCTTTTGCTGAAATTAGTAAGTATCGTGAAATATGCAAGTTTATGGTATGAAAGATGTGGTATTTTAAAACTAAGTCGCTTGAAGATGGAGATATTTATATTTAAGTTATTTTATTATTTAATCCTCTAAGAATAAGGTACTAATCAAATAAAGTATTTAAAAAGTATTAATATAGGTATTCATGTTGCATTTTCAGACAACCATATGAAATATTAGAAGGAATATTTAATAACATCACCAACCAGGTAACAGCTATTAACAAATGCCAAACGACTACTGTGTAAGCTCTTCAAAATTTATGTGTCATTAGAAAAATTTACATAATTGTTACTGTTACAACAGATATTAGATTTGTTTAGAACAAAGTAACATAGCTAATATTAGGACTGTATAAATTACTTGTTGGTAGGAAAGCAGAATCTATTTGTTTTAACGTGCTAACTAACATGCAACTTACTGGATTTTCTCCACATTGAAACGGTTTTTTGTTTGTTTGTGTTTTACAAGCTTATGAGCCAGATACCAGAGTTTTTTTTTTCTAGGTAAGCTTACATGTACAGTGCACAAAAGGGTTTAATGACATAAAAGCTTAAAACATATGTTATCAAGAGGCAATATTAATATTAAAACTACTTATGGCGACGCAACAAAAAAAAAAGAGAAAATAAAACCGAGGAAAAATTAACTCGGAAATGGAAAGCTAGCCGTTTAGAACAAAGCAAAATAGGTGCTCTTAGGAACATAAAAATGTAATTGTTTTGAGAACAGCCACAAATGTTATTTCTTGGTATTAAAAAAGAAACATGTTTTAAGGTTACCGAAGTTATTGTTTTGAAGAAGAAACCTAACAGTTTTAAGTTTAAGGTCAATAGAACATATCTCCTCGTAGGACAGCTAATGCTAATTGTTTTTTAGCAACAAAAATGAGTTCAATTTAGGTAAGCAGAAACTGATTTTCTTAAAATAACACGAGTTCGGTATATAGAATCAGTTACAAAATAATAATAATAATAACCCGTGGTTTTAAATAATCACTCACATTATAGTTATTTCTAAAACTAATAAAAGTATTGTTCGAAGATGAACTACAGTAGTTTTCAAGGAACAGATATTCGTTGTGAGAACAATAAAAAGTAATTTCTTTTATGACAAAGGTACAGTTGAATTCGTAGAACAATGACGATCATTGTTGCATTTTAATACTCTTGTAACGGATGGTGGCTAACTTTAAGCTATCAGATTATTTGTTTGGTCAACAAATGTTCGTTGTTTTTAGAACAATATAAATGATTTGATTCTGAGGAAGCATCTCTCCTTTGTTCTGGTATTAGTCTGAGGTTTTCGAGAAAAAGCACACAAGCTAGAATCAAATAAAAAAGCTTCCAAAACAAATAATTTTGAATGTCCTCAAAACGACCAAGATAGTTTGTATAGTAACTGCAAAGTTACATTTTTAAATACAAATTTATTGACCTAAAGATAAGAGAAGATATCGTGTTAAAGACGGCATAAAAATGTTCTTATAGGAATTATTACTTATAATACATCACAAGTTACCATTAGGACATAAACTTATCGTTTTAAAAACATCATAACTTAACAATAGGACGGTATAAGTTATCGTTTAAAAATAAAAACGATAAATTTTGGTGTTCAATTATTAGGACAACAGAAAATAACACAACAAGAGTTGTAAATTTGCCATATAATTTCAAGAACAAGATACTGAATTGTTTTAACACAACATAAGTTATCATTCTAAAATTACAGAAGTTAGTGCCCCCCAATGGCATAGTGGTAAGCCTGGGATCTAGAAAACGAGTTTCGATACGCGTAGTGGGTACAGTACAGATAGCCCATTTTGTAGCTTCATGCTTAACTACAAACAAATAAACAGAAGCTTTAGAACAATAGATGTTTATTTCTGAGAGGAACAACAATTAGTTGTTTTTAGAACCATAAAAAAATTATCGGTTTTAAGTTAATTGAATTTATTGTTCATGAACATTAAACGTTGTTTTGGGATACGAATAATATCTAGGGACAACAAGGGACCTAACAACTAAACTAATAATATTAAATATAAACTCTCAAAGTCAGCCCTTATCATTCATATATTTGCCAAGCTTTCTCTTGAACTAAATTAAGTGTACTTCCTCCACAACATTCGAAAGTAATTAATTACAAAGGCCAACTACCCTGTTAAAATAATAAAACTGCCTTAGCTGAAGATGGCTCATACCCTGCCAACATTTATATTTATATCCCTAAGTCCTACTATTCTCACTGATAAGTATGAAAAGAGATAATGCTTCAACATTATGAATCCCCTTTACAAGCTTAAAACCTTAATCAGATTTGTTCTTACTCTAACTCCAACCTAAAAACTTTACAAACAAATTGCACATCTTCACTGCTAGCTTCCTTAAAAGTACATATCAGTCTCGAGTTCCCAAATAAAACTCACTCGTTGCACCTATCACGCCTAACAAACTATGAGCGCTTAACTCCTACACTAGTCTTAACCGTTGTATTTGTAGCATGGGAATAAATACTCAACACTAACTACAAGTAGCAACAGGGGATGACGGTTTTAGATAATAAAGCTAGTTGCCCTTGGATCAAAAGAATGTAACTGCTTTAATTATAACAAATCTACAGAACTTGAAAACTCACTATAATATTATGTTCTTATTTAACCAGGACTTGAAAATATATCTGCATTTTTGCTTAAATTTTGAATCAAATTGCACCAGGAACTAAGATTCCACTCAAACATGCCAGCCATACTACTACGTTACATTTCGTTCAATTATCCTTGTTAATGTTGAGTTACACTTCATCTGTTTTAAATTTTGATTGAACAAAGAAAAGAGTATGAAGGGAGAGAAAAGTTACACAATAGTTATGTATTTTATTCATATAAGATAAAAATAATAAAAAATATGAAAATTTTATTATTATACAGTGTTTGCTCCTTTTTTCTGAGAAACATAATGGGTTATTTTCTCATTTTATATTTTACTTTTTTTTGCTAATTTACAGATATGAAATAAGCACATTTCCCTGTTCATCCATTTCATATTTAAAATTATCTAGACCATAAGATTATTAGTCTTATTCTTAATGCTTCATGTTTTGAATCTATTTTTCTTTTTCTAGAAAAAAAAAGTCATAACAGTCTCATTTCAAGACGATACACGACAAATCGCCCATAGAATGGAGATTGTACGATACCTACCAAAACACAGAAACACAGTTGTTAAATTGTTGTCTATATATATCTATCTATCTTAATGAATTTTTGCAATCTTATCCATACACACACACACAAATACCTAAAATATGATTAAATTTTTCTTCAGTTATCCTTACCATTACAAATCATGAGTTTTTTTATCCTACCCAGATGAAGGGATATATTACCGCGAAGATTGTATAAGAATAACGCTCAAACGGTTCTTCAGTGGTAAGCATTTAAACCTACTATAACCACTTATGTACAGATAAACCAGAGCAAAACATTCATTTTCATCACCTGCTCTTAACCTTCGTTAATTTTATAAGCAACACATCTATGTGAAGTTTTAAGGAATAACATCGCATTTCGTGCTTCAGTGACTTTTGTTGATTTTATCTTTTATTACGCGTATTGTTATTTCTTTTTAAACAGCTTCTGAAGGAAAGGATATTATCACCGATTTGGATTATTTCCTTTCCTTTAAATTTTCGGAGAAGCTGAGGAATGGTTACGTTTCTTCAGCTCACCTGTGGCTGTTCCTTCATGTCAATGAAACGATCACAGGAGAAACCTGGATTTCCCTTTATAAAGTCAAAAAAGAGAGTAACATGGCCACTTACATAAAGGTTAGTTCTCGAGATTGAAATGTTACCTAAGAGAATATTGCCTTGATTGGTTTATTTCAAGTTTGATTTATCAAGAAGTCTAGTTTACATTGGTGGATTATTTTATGACTTGTAGTACTATTTTTACACCAATAACCTCTTCTAAGTCTTACATTTATCAACTGTACAAGTTGATGGATTTTACTAAGTTCTTATTTACTTTAATCAACTCTTCTAAGTTGTTTTTTTAACAAATAGTACTATCATATGTAAATGGCATTTTCTCATTTTTATATTCAACAACTACAAAAGCTTGCTTTAACTGGTCCTTAGTTTTCAGTTTATTATAGTTCTTTAGAAGGGTGTTATTCTTGGTCAGTGTTCTTTTTGGCTCAGGGAAAACACAAAATAAGCCAAGAACAGATTTTCAGTTGATATGTATGATTAATGCCCACTGTATATTAAACCTATATACTAACAGCAAGTTAAGTGTATATCGGTTAAAATCTAACCTAAAAATAATGACGTTTCTTCTATCATAACCTATTGCTGACGTACTAGGGATAAATAAATCTAATTTAAGTGGTTCTTCCTTTAAACTCTTATAGCAGAAATTTATCGCTAAGTATATCCTTTCATTGCTTCTTTTAAGTTTTAATACCTTTCAACTAACTATCGCACAGTTCTCAATGTAATTTCCAATAATTTCTGAACAGTTATTTTTTTTCATTTTTGTTGACTAGCGTTATATGTCATTGTCTCAACAAGGAACCTATCTTACAGGCAGTGGCGGCTCGCATTTAATATTCAACATAGATTGGTAAAAGGGTTATTTATTTATTTAGGCGTCTCGTTGTATTTATACGGGTGCTCTTTCCCAGTTGCCATGCAAGGACTAGTTATTTTTCGAACTATATAACTTCGAAATAACCTCCAAATCAAGATAAATTGTAGCGCATTTTAATCAAGTCAGTGCACAACATTCCATGAAGCTCACTTTTAATTTTACAAGGCTAAAATCCTGGGTTCGATTTCTCGCGGTGAACAGAGTGCACATAACCCATTGTGTAGCTTTACGCAAAAACACCAACAACATTATTAATTGTTTATATCATTAAAAACACTGGATAATTCTATTATTATTCAATTTGTACCAGCCCTTAATCAGCGAGACCATGCGAAGTCTGCGTGTTCCTCTTGTTGCAAACGTTTCTTAAAACGATTTTCATTGGTTGTTTTTAAACCTAGATTCCCATTGGCTCCATTAGCTGCACCGCAGGCCTCAAAATGCTTGTAAAGTTGGCTCCTCTCAGCAGTTTCCGTTCCATATACAGACAAATTGTAAAGATAAAAAAAAAACCCGCCCAAGAAATTACCCGAATAATTAAACCAATTAGCTACTCTCTCTCTCTCTCTTTCTCTCTCTCTCTCTCTCACACACACACGTGAAAAATTACCAGTACATCTATTGTTAAATGATTTATACAGATAGCTGAAAAAGTAAATATATTTAAGTTAAATATGAATCATTTCTAAAACCTATTTAAGTCCATTAAACATACACAAGTTTATTCCTTAATGTACTTAGGATATCTTATGTAACCATAAGTAGCCCCTTACACCTGAACTTTCAAAAACTTTAGTTGGTGTAAAAAAATGTATGAACAATTTAGAAAAGTGTGACCAACAGTTTAAAGATGGACGTAAAATATCAAAGTTTGTTTTGAATTTTGCGCAAAGCTACAAGAGGGCTATCTGCACTAATCGTCCCTGATTTAGCAGTGAAAGACTATAGGCCAACTCTTGGGCTACTCTTTTACCAACGAATAGTGGGATTGACCGTCACATTATAACGCCACCACTGCTGAAAGGGCGAGCATATTTGATGGGACAGGGATTCGAACCCGCGCCCCTCAGATTGCGAATCAAGCGCCCGAAACACTTGGCCATGCCAGGCCTTAAAATATGAAAGTATAATTAATGTATATGGTGATCACCAGTTTAAAGTTTGATGTGAATGTATATAGTGATCACCAGTTTAAAGTTTGATGTGAAACATTGAAGAATAATTAATGTATATAGTGATCACCAGTTTTACTATGTATGTAAAATATTGAAGAATAATATATCTATACCCACAAGGCTATCGACGACATTGTGGATGGCAAGCTAATGTTATCCAAGATAATACACAATGTAAAGTAACTCTGAAAGAAATACAAGATATGTTAAATCATGTACAAATCCTGTTGAAATTATTGATATCACAGTTTCGGCGGAAAAAAAAAAACCTTTCGGAACTACTTCTCTTTTTGGGTTGAAAGTTGAAACAGAGGATGATAATGTTAATGTTGCCACAATACACGGTGACATTAGCATTGTTATGTAAAGCGAACTAAATATTTTTCACGGACAGAGAGGATGAGGTTTAGAATCAGCTTTCTCGTTACACAATCTGAAAATTTGAATCTCAATCAGTTGATGAATTAGAACACAAGTCGAGTACTACTGTACATAAAACGTCGCGTTCTAACATTGATTTATTTAGCATCTAAAAACTAAAGTACCACATCAACTTATACAGTAACATTCTTCTTGATTTTAACTCTGCAGTCAAAGATTTTACATCATCTACTCAACAAGAAAAGAAACCAGGAAACTTTATATATTAAGATACTGTAAAAACGTAAATCAGATGATATTCAAAAATATTTTTCAATATGATTAAATAGAAAATGACAACTAACGACCCGTCGCACTGCTTTTCTGAAAGGTTCAGTCACCATATTACCAAGCTGCTGTAAGAAAAAAGGAATGATTAAAGTAATTAATTAGTGTTCACTCTTAGTTGATTTAAAATGAACCATGAGCCAAAATTTTTAAGTATGTTCAAGCGAAAGTAAATATCCAAGGAGAGCTTGCTGAATATGTAGGTCATCGCATTTAGTTGTCCTACCCAGAAATTTACCGAAGAAGTTCTATTTTGAAAGAACATGATACCTAACTTCCTGAAAGGTAATTTAGTCGAATGAAGAAGGACTGAAAGAATGTTAAACGTGAACTCCTGTCATTGTGATCAATGAGAACACTTTATGGTACGAATTAAAACACGGGAAAGGCAACTCAACGTTTCAAAAGAAACGTTCATGAGGTTGATCCATATTGGAACTCAAGGATATAATAGAACAAAAAAAAAAAAGAAAAAAAGGAAGTTTCACAAACAATAATTAGTTAGTTGAAACTTGTGGTTGATTTTTCAGTTTCTTTATCATTAAGTACTGTAGTACTTAATAGTAGTGATCGTAATGAAACAAAATGGCGGGCATAAAAATCGCCCGTTTGCAATCACCTTTAAAATATCTGAATATTAACAATGACTATTTCACAGTATTGGCGGAGCAAAAACTAAAGCCCATTGTACTTATAAAGCCACCTAAATCGCTATATACGTGTTTATGGAGTGAATCAAAGTTTTACTATTTCAACGAATTTTTCATCTAAATAAGTAAGTAACCTTTCCAGACAGAAAAAATGACGCACCTTATCGCTCTAATTCTCTCACAGAACTCTTCTATCTGGGGTCTCAATGATTCCTTTCTTGTACTAACAAGGATATATATATATATATAACGGACGATGCGTTACTTTGGGCATATAATTAGATTTGAGGGTAAGCTGGTAGAGATTCTGATGTGTTTGTTTGTTTGTTTTGAATTTCACGCAAAGCTACACGAGGGCTATCGGCGCTAGCCGTCCCTAATTTAGCAGTGTAAGACTAGAGGGAGGCGAGCTAGTCATCACCACCCACCGCCTAAC